GACACCAACCCATTAGGGCTGATCAGACTTCCAAGATAAGTGAAGTTGTCAACGCGTTCGACTACTTCACTCCCTATCCTTAGTTCAGGTGTTGACGCAGACCAGTCCTGAAGCAACAACTTGCATTTAGAGGGAGAGAAGCGCATCCCAAACATTCTGGCATTGTTGCTCAGTGCTACCAGAAGACTCTGCATTTTGTCAGCGTCTTCACCAAACAGGACTATGTCATCTGCGTATTCTAAGTCGATAAGTGGACCTCCTGGAAGGAGATCAATACCCGAGAATTCAGTCGACGAGAGTGTTATTTCCATCAATAGGTCTATGATGAAGTTAAACAAAAATGGAGAAAGTGGACAGCCTTGACGGACACCACTTGAGGTTGCAAAAGTAGATGACAGTTCGCCATAAGCCCTGACTCGACTAGTAGTGTTCGAGTAAAGAGCCTTCACAAGGTTTATGTACTTCTGAGGTACGCCTTTCAATGACAGACACTGCCACAGAGTCTCGCGGTCTACCGAGTCAAATGCTGCTTTTAAGTCAAGAAATACCACCATCGTCGGACGCCGATAGGTATGCCTGTGTTCTAGAACCTGACGAATGGTGAATATGTGGTCGATGCAGCCACGACCAGGTCTAAAGCCAGCTTGGTTCTCTCGAGTTTGTAGTTCACGAGTCTTAGTTAGGCGTTTGATAATTATCGAGGCCAGTATTTTAGATACTATGTTTGTTAAACTAATCCCTCTGTGGTTGTCACAGGATGATTTTGACCCTTTCTTATATATTGGGACGATAAGTGATTGCGACCAGTCAGATGGGATAAAGTCTAATTCCCAGATCTTAGCTAAAATATTAGTCAACTTAATCGCTAAAATTGGACCACCATCCTTAAAGACCTCTGGAGCCAATCCATCTGGACCAGCTGCCCTTCCTCGTTTCAGATTAACTATAGCCTTTTGAACTTCAGCAAGAGTGGGGGACCTACTTCAATGTTCCATTCACACTGTCTGGGAATGGAGGGTAGTTGTAGAGTAGCTGAAGGCCAGCTGAACTGTTCCCTAAAGTGTTCCGCCCATCGTTCTAAACGCCTGGACTTGGAGCAGATGAGTGTATCGTCTTTTTCCGATATAATCTCACTTACACTTGACTTATTAATTCCAGTTTCTTTTATTAGTCTGTAAAGCTGTCTTGTGTTCCCTATAGTCGCCGCCTTTTCCATCTCTTTTGCTTTCGATGCCCACCACTGCTCACGGTCGTTTCTTAGACTTTTTCTTAACCTAGATCTGATTTGTTTTCGCTCTTCATCATGTTCGGAACCTGATGGGACGAGTTTGCGAGAATCCATCAGTGTGACAGACCTTGAAGAAATCCACTGGTTCCTTGCAACTCTGTGGTTTAAGTCACTAATAGATGTCACTGCTGTTTCCACAGCTGATTGTATGCCCTTCCAAGCAACATCTGGGTCAGCCTCGTCTTCACAACTACCTAAGTGTGACCTCAGTTGTTCCTGGAACCTACTTTTGGTTTTCTCGTTACTCAATCAGTTCTAACGGGTCTTTTTAATGGGGCTTTTTTGCGTCCAGTGAGGCGCAAGCAGATGCGTGCCCGTATTAGGGCATGGTCGGAGTCCAAGCAGGTACTCCAGAATGAGCGACAATCTTCTACCGACCCTCTCCAACGATGACTGATGGCAATATGGTCTATTTGAGTCCATCGTTGGTTTGGTGTAGGGGGTCGCCATGTTAGACGATGTCTCTCCTTATGCTTAAAATTTGTGTTTGCTAAAAATAAACGATTGTCTGAGCATAGCTGCAGCAGACGATCACCATTATCTGTTCGCTGTGTCGGAATACTAAAATATCCACCTAAATGCCTTTCTGTTTGGTTTAAACTGCCTATCTGAGCATTAAAATCACCTGCTACGAGTACTATGTCTGAGCGTTTAGCTTTCTGAAGAAGTTCATATAGCTTTCTGTAAAATTCATCTTTCACATCATCTGAGCTGCAGTCAGTGGGAGCGTAGGCAGAAACGACAAAAAGGCAACGACGTGTGTCCCTATCCTTCCGAGTTCTTACGTAGCCATTCAGCCGAACAGCACATAGACGACTGTTGACGGGGATCCACTCTAGCAGTGCTTGTTCGGCCCTCATGCTTAGTGCTATGCCTACACCTGCCAGTCCACGAGAACTTGCCATCGGGTCACCAGATACACGAAGGGTGTACCTCGTTGGCTCTCCGTTTTGCCGAGGTGAGGTCAAGTGAATGACCACACTGGAATCCTGTATGCGTGTTTCGGAGACACAGCACACGTCAATGGTAAGAGACTCTAGGGTTTTAGCCAAGGAAGCCTGCTGACCGATTTGACATAGGGTTCGTACGTTGAAGGCTCCAATGTGTAGTTTGGAGCGAGGTTTCAGTAGACCTGGGACAGTATATTGCGCACTAGAATCGTTGGCTATGGTGACACTTGAGGTGGAAGCCGAGAGAGGAAATTTAAAGTTGAAAGTCGATGTAGGAGGAATAATAGGAATTGAAGAGGAAGGTTGATTATGAATACAGTGGTCTTGAGTGCTGTTAGAGGTATGAGGGCGGTTATCACTTCCCGGTTGCCCACACCGTGGAAGGGTTCTTCTGGAGGTACCTGAAAAGGAAATTGGATTAGAGGTGGTCTTAGTGACCTGAGAGCGTGACCGCAGCTCAAGGGACAACTGCTTGAGGTCGGTCACACACGACCTTGTTATGGGTAATTTTTGTGTTAGCTCCGTACTTTGAGACCTTACCGCCGGAGACGGATATCAATGGGATAAGGCGAGGTGTGCATTTTTAGGGTCGACCTTTTCTAACCCCACCCCTCCTTGTGGGAAGGCAGCATCGCTGTCATGCTGGTTGTCTGAAGGAAACACCTTACTGCTGTCACACCTCTGTACAGTCAGCAGTACGACTTCGCCTTCGGACCTTGGGTTTGTTGCTTTTAGTCTAACCGCTCTTCAACCGACCTGTCTGACATGGTAGGACCTTGAGGAACGGTTGTTCCAGCCAGTATAGCTCGGTTGCTTCATCACGATAGGCAAGCCCGACCACCACGTCAAGGTAGCAACAACGGTCAGATACTCTTTCATAACTGTTGAACCTATTAATATTTTTCAAGGGGGCGTTCTTTGTGTTACTTATCTAATTGAGTGCTATTCAATGATGTATAATATGTACACGTGCATTGAGACTTGTGCTTGACGATTTATACCTGCTCTTACTCGCTATGTTATATAGAGATACTACCCCTAACTATCGGTCTGAAAAGTCGGACAAATGAAAATCTCGCAAATGCGACGAAAATGATCTCGGTGGTGTTGTAATAGTATTCCGACAGCAGACAATGGGTTTTAAGCGTTCTTCAAGCCCTAACGCTTCAGGATGGGCTGTTTCGTTTACTAGCCTACATATGTGCGGTATACTGTACAAGTTATACAGCAGAGTTAAACTAGTCAGTCAGTGTTCAGAGTCGATGTAGGAGGATTAATAGAAATTGAAGACGAAGATTATGTATGAATACAGTGATCTTGAGTGCTCTTAGAGGTATGAGAGAGTTCATCACTTCCCAGTTGCCCACACCATGGAAGGGCTCTTCTGATATACCTGTAAACGAAATTGCTTTAGAGGTGATCTTAGTGACCTGAAAGCGTAACCGCAGTGCCCAAGGGACAACGGCTTGAGTAATTTCCGTGTTAGCTCCCCACCTGTTGAGACCTTAACGCCGGAGACGGATATCTATGGGATAAGGTGAGATTTGCATTTGTAGGGTAGGCCTTTCCTAACCACACCCCTCCTTCTGGGAAGGTAGTATCGTTGTTATACTGGTTGTCCAAAGAAAAACACGTTACTGCCATCACACTTCTGTACAGTCTGTAGTACGACTTCGCCTTCGGACCTTGAGTTTTTTGCTTTTAGTCTTACCGGTCTTCAACCGATCTATCTGGCATGGTAGGTGTTATAATTCTCTCTTATTACAACCCAGCTATTCTTATTACCTTGTATTCTCGGACACCAATTCACTCGACAAGTCCCCAAATCAGAACACGGCTGAACAGGAAAGATTACATTCCAAATAACAAGGTTAGATGGAAGTAAGAAACACACTAGGAAAAACGTTAGTAGATTGATAGTTCTCTTACATGAGAAGATTCTAAAATATTCTAGAGTATTCTCCAAGTATCGACTACCGCTGACTGGCTAATTCTTATCCAATCAGCATGCGCCAAAGTAATCATGCATTAAGCATGCTTTAATCCAATCTATGTTCCAACAACAGTAGGACATTGAAGAACGATTGTTTCAGCCAATATAGCTCGATTGATTCATTACAATAGGCAAACCCAACCACCATATCCAGGTAGTAACAACGATCGGGAGAGTTAAACTAGGAAAGTTGTGTTAAACTCCAGTACTCAAACTTATGATCCCAATTACAACAACAAAAAACGAGTGATATTTGAATAATTATTGACTTTCATTAACAAACATCACAACATTGTACATACCATACCAGGACGAAACGGCCGTCCAGTGCTTCCACGTATTCAATGGTGGTCTAGCTTCAACTGACTCATGATTTCAATCTGTGAAAATTTCTAAAAATCTCCACAAAACACATTCTGATAATAATAATCACCTGCTCACTAGTGACTGACTTCAGGAGACACTTCTGGAGTTCTAGTGAGAAGTCGTTACCAGTGGAGTTCAACCAGGTCTGTTGTGAGATAGGAACTCACTGAAGACAACGGTGTACGGTAGCGCAACTTCGTGGATTGGTTGAAGTTAGACATTAACACCGTTGGATGCCGGCTCAGTGGTCTAATGGTTAAGTGCTCGCGCACGAAGCCAGTAGGTCCTGGGTTCGAGCCCCGGGTGGTGCGGGTTCGTGGATGCGCACTGCTGAGGAGTCCCATACCAGGACGAAACGGCCGTCCAGTGCTTCCATGTTTTCAATGGTGGTCTAGCTTCAACTGACTCATGATTTCAATCTGTGAAAATTGTACAATAAGTTGGATCCAATCGACTACTAAACCAACATGAAAATAATAGACAGACACCTATTGATGTATTCAGCATTCATAAGTACATATCACAATACAATATAATAAACTAATTAATGATATACATGAATAAATATAGAGGTAGAATAAAGAGATAAAATTGTAAGAAGTAAAACTTTATACAACAGTGTAATGAATATTGAAAAGAAAAGAATTTACATTATCATGTTTAAACCCATTCTTTAGGATTTTTAAGCACCTCAATGAGTGATTGATTACGTGGATCCTGTGAATTGTCATAACAATAGTTCCATTGCTAAAATAACAATAATGAAAATGTTAGGAATAAAGAAAGAGAAAACTTAGAATCAGCGAATGAAGAGGAAGAAAACATTCTTCAAAGCTCTGAACAGTTATTTACTGCTTATTTTTAGCCCCCAAATGCCCTGGTACGGTCGAGAGTGGGAAGAGTCAGCTCTCGATTTCGAAATGCTTTCAAATGGCAACGTGTATACAGCCACTGACAGGGAAGTCCTACTCACTGCTTTCTCGCCACTGGGTGATTTTTACGAAATTTAGAGAATGAAAAGCGAATGTCCGGCTCTTTACCCGAGTTGGTGGATATGGAGGATCCACCTGCGGGAGTTGGAAAACCCTCATTTCAAACCAATGATGCACATGGGTTTCAGTATCCTAAGGAAACAAATGGCGTATGAACCAATCGTTGGTCACTGGCTACCATTGGACTGCATCTCCTGGCATGGTTCCCTTGTCTTGTGTATTCGATTTTTAGGTCGAAGGCTCCGGGTATGGTCCCCCAAGAAAACTACCTTCTTCAATCTAGGCACTCGGGTAGTATCACAGCCCACAACACAAGTCAAGTGACTTATGTGGCGCATATCTAGTTAGTGCCTATTTGTATAACTGTTTGCGTTTAAATAAATAAAAAACAAAGTGCTCCTTATTTTAGAACTGTTCATCGACATACATCTATGAATTACTACTTATCACAGAAATATGTTCAGGATATTTGTCTCACCTAACATTGAAGGTGATACACTTTTTAGGTCGTGTGGTTAGCAGCATTCCCAATTGTAGTCAATCTTTGAATGCATACTAGCTAGTGATAAGTTTCAAACTAAAACATGTTTTGCTTCGTCTACGATACTCAGGGCAAGTTCAGAAACTTTGTTATTCCGTACATTTGTTCATACGATCAACCGGTCACGGAAATATTCACATTTTCAAACGTTCAGTTATAAATTAGTAATGAAAATTCCTATTTTAACTGTTCATCATACATAACCACCATCAAACTGACAATGCTACAGGGCACCATCATCATTCTCAACTTGGTTTCTATTACGTCTCCTTGCTAGCTACTTAATTGGGAACAATGCTCCTGATGGCTTTTCATCCAACCACTGGCAGCTACTGAAAATACAGAAGAAAACCAATGGTTTGCCCCCGCTTTAACCGATGATAATACGGAGAAAAACGTGCAGGTTTTTATATAATTATGTAGAATGTAATTCCAAACAGACCATTTAGAATATGTTTATTTATTTAAACACATAAACATTAACACAAGGAGGCACCAAATAGATCATTCGACTTGTGTGACGGCTGGAATACTGCCCGGGTGCCCACACCGAAACAGGTGGTTTTCTCAGGGGGCCACTACCCGAGCCTTTGACCTAAAGGTCTAACCCACAAGGCAGTGGAGCATCGCAAGGAGATGCAGTCCCATGGAAGCCGGTAACCAACAATTGGTTCATACGCCATTTGTTCCCGCATGATACTGGAGCCCATGTGCACCATTGGTTTGGAATCCGGTTAAATCGTCGGGCATTCGCCTTTCGTCCTCTCAATTTTGCAAACAACACCCCCGCCACGAGAAGACAGTGAGTAGGACTTCCCTGGCAGAGGCTGTATACGCTTGGCCGTGTGAGAGCATTTCGAGAGGGAGGGAGGGCCCACCCCACTCTCGGCCATACCAGGGCATTTGGGGACATTTAGAATATGAGTCTCATAACACCTAATTGAACTATATGAGCGCATTTTAAATGCTAGAACTGCTCTATAACACTGTTAGTGTCCTCCTAGGATAATCGTCAACAGACAACAGTCTGTAATGTACAAAGTACAAATTGGAAGAGACATGTGGATTAGATGAGAACAAATAATAAATGCAATTACCCTTGGACGTACATCTTGATACCAATGAAATGAAGACGAACAAATTAACAACCCGCTAGGAAATCACATCCGAGAGGAGACATCTCTTATCATAAGGATGGGAAAAAGTGTCCAGTGAAGCGTCTATAACTCAATCCTCGAAAATTCCGGCATAATTAAATTCGAGAAAAGTGTTGGGAAACATATAAAAGAACTCATACTAAATCCCGATCGAAATAAATTGGTTAACAAACGTCGACTGATTAACCAGTGTCAATATATATCCCAGACCTATAAGAGCACAATTACATACCGAACTACTCAGCGATAACATATTTGACTGAAACAGTGAGTGATGTGCGTAAGAAACTCGCTATACTGAGGAGCGAAAAAAGCACTCAAACACCTGAAATTCTATATGATATCCATTAAATGTTATACGCACTACTACTAATACTACTTCTTATCAGCAGAATGTGTCTACTTACAAAACTTGTGTTATTCAACTTCTTAATAAAAGTAGACTTATCCTCCCTCTCAATGAGTAGTATACCGACTAGTAGAAAACTAACTACTCAACATTAAACTATATGTACTGTGATCTGGAGTCATTGGTCAAGCCTAATGATAATAAACGTCAAAATCACGTGAAATAATTGACAAGACAGAGAAAATAGTAAATTAACTTCCAACTTACAGCATAACGTGGTAAAGACATTAAAATACTTTCAATACGAGCTTCTGGAGTGGCTAGACCAAATTTAGTACCACGATCATAGATTAAATTGAATTCAACATAACGTCCACGTCTTACCAACTGCCATTCACTGGCAAATAAAAGGTAAGAAGATATAAGTAAGGAACAATCAATAAATTTACCGGTAGAATAAATAACACACACAAACATGTAATGAAATGGGATGATTCATTTATGATTTAATGAAGTGTATGAGATCATTGAATTCCTCACTGAATCAGTAATTATCAACATAAAACTTGGCATATCGGTTCAAGTTGTCATATCACATCAGCACCAGTCAGTCAGTCAGCTACAACGTAAGACCAGGCACATATATGCATCGGTCCAAGTTGCCAGACCGCATTAGCACAACAAGATGAACAACGTGTTCATAGGGGTAGTTAAGTCAATGGTGGTAATATATAAAAGATTGCGTATAAGGATATAGTACAGGAAGAAAGAATCATTTCGTAGAGATAAAGATATGAAGCAATTTTCATCTCACAGTTTAACAAAAGACAAAGAGTGTATACACCTACACCATTCTGAGCCATGACGCCAAGAGTCTCCAAGCAATGGTTACGATAGTCAGGTGGACCACAAACAAGAAGTTTGCATCTACCAACATGGCTCGGACCAGAAGTTAGTGACTTCAAGAACTGATGCCACGTTTTGGTTTGACCGCCCCTAACTTTCTTCCAACAATCCCCAACACCAGTTAGCATTGCACGTCGTGGTAATCGGTGTTCAGGCATACGCAACACAACACGTGACCCAACCATATCAGTCGATGAAGATTCACAGCCTCATCAACTGATATACCAACATCCCCTAATATCCTGCGTTCCTAGCCTCACTAATACTTACCCGTTGATTCCAGCAGATGCCAGTAATATTTTTAAGTGTTAAATTACTGAGTTAAAAGTTTAGATTTCATCTTACTTATTTTGGTTTACCCAGTGTTAATTCTATCGAAGCGTCGAAGTAACCCCGATTGAGATACGCGCGAAATCGAAGTCCCAAAACAACGATTTGTCTACAAAAGCGGTTCTTTATTAAATAATACACAAAATTTAGTTACAAACCTCAACTTGTGAGGTGTCTAGGCGTTTAAACGCGTCGTTCAAAAATGAAAATAGCAAAAGCTTCCTGTAAGAGTAACATAAAGAATGATTACAACATACGATAGTCCAAAGACAGCCGATAGCTGTGTCTAGATTTGGTAACAGTTTATGAACAACCGAAACTCGAACCAAGAGCAAACAATATGGAAACTGTTGCATTCAAACAAATGCATAAACTGTGGATAACCTTTACAGTAATTAAATTACAGTGATTATAATGATAAATACAATTATAAGTAAAATAAACATTAAAGATATATGTGAACATTCCAGAATGTTATAGTACAACTTGAGTTACAACATAAGTGTGGAAATTGTTGGGTATACAGCTGCCTACTGAATGTAAATAAGTAGTATAAAACAACATACAAAAGAGTAGAAAAGGAACATGTAGGAACAATGTGAAACAAACTTAACACCGCCCCCCAAAGACAGCATGTCTTTCCTTACTTTCGCTGATTAGGTATTAACGTAAAAACATTCAGAAGTGACAATGGTACGATTTGCTCTAGCCACAGTCACTCTGAAAAGTCTCTCTATCCTCTACTTTTCGGTCATCAGCTCCTTCTAATAAACAAATTTTACATATGCCTCTAATAATTGTACCCTTCCACGTTCTGATCTTCGCTTGGTTCCATAGACTATCTCCTCCTGGGTCAAAACTTACCACGAGGCCTTTAGACCAGTTATTTCGTGCATAAGTGTCCTCAATAATCAAGACTGGACCGCGAACTTGTAAATCTCGTCTTCCTTGTGTCCATTTTGTTCGCGTCTGTAAGAGTGGTCTATCATTAGGTATTCTTTCTGCTTCAGTCAAACAGGTGGTGAGTGTCTCGTAGGACATAGATACTGCACTCAAAGGTCTGCGTATGCTTCCTATTAATCTTTCCCATACTCGATGATGATTTGCGTAAGGAGTGTTATGGTGCCATTCTATGTTCCGATGAGTCATTTCTTCGGCTACTCTACTATCCTTAAAGTCTGGTAATGGATGTTGTATCTGCTTGTCTAACCCAACTAAAGGAGACATGGATACAGTTGTCTTAAACTTCTTATCATCATCAGCAAACTGAATAAAACAATCATCTTTCTGATTCTCTGTTTCACGCTCGATGTCAATAGAACTCTCAGCAGACGCCACTACAGGAGATACAAGTTTCGTATTTGCAGAGAACTGAGTTGTTGTTGCTTTGCAACTAATTGATGACTCGTGTAGTAGTATCACAGATTTAGCACTATCGTTCACGTCAGAAACACTAGGGAGATCTGTTTCGGCAGAGAACCTAACAGATGTTTTCGATGACATTAACTCGCCGCTATCTGTTGGAAGAATTTTGTCTGGAGGAGAAATATATCTAAGGTCAATATTCACTACTGTATCGACGTGACTATCGTTGACAGTTTTTAGAAGGTACTCATCGTCAACAGCTGGTGATGAAATAACTTGTTCTAAATCCATTAGATTCTCGTCTGTCGCTTTTGATACAGAGTCAAAGGTGTATATAAGTCGGTTACTTCTTGAATCAGGTGGAGTGTCAAATCCAGAAGAACGAACTGACGGTAAACCTTGATGAACCCTGGAATCTTCAGTCTCAACAGCGGTTGCTGTTACTATGAGTGAGTGTACATCATCATCATCATCATCATCGACTAAGAGTGACACATCAGGAGAGTGTTTAAGGCATAAACCAGGATCATCTATGAACGGCAACAAACGATTTGAAGAGTTTTCAGGCGCTACTGTGGTCAAAGAAGAGGGTGGCGTGGGTCCGTCCTCGATAGAACTCTTTGCTTCTAAACAACCTTCCCAACTCAATCGTGACTCTTCGTCTATCATCTCATCCCACCCATAGTTTTTACGACATAGCTGTTGCAGAATTCGTTTAGGGGTAAGTGATAAAGGCGCTAGAAATCCAAGCGGGTCATATAACGATGATGCACATGACAGAATGCCTCTCTTAGTGATCGGGCGTTCGGGAAGATTTACGTCAATGCAAAACAATCGAATTGCGTGTGCCAATAAAGTCCTAAAGTTTTCTGTATACGTTCTGTTGAACCTGGTATACGAACCAAATTGTTTGATCTATCACCTATAGGGACGTCATTCAGCGCTTCATTTACGTTACTAACCCATTTATGTAAACGAAAACCTCCAAGCGCAACGAGTCTTATTAGGTTATTTGCTAACTCGGCAGCTTCTGGTATTGTTTCTACTGAGACTAGACAATCATCTACATAAAAGTTTTCTCGTAAGGTGGACTGTGTTTTTTCATCAAACAAATCTCGGTGGTCTGTAGCTGTACGTCTTAAAGCATAGGTAGCGCAAAACGGCGAGGACGTAGCCCCGAAGGGGTGTACATGGAACTCATAGACCTCAGGAGGAGAATCAAGATTGCCATCGGGATACCATATAAAGCTGAAGGCCTTTGTATCCCTTTCGGGTAGATATACCTGGAGGAACATTTCTTCAATTTCTGCTGACAATCCAATCTTATGCTTTCTGAATCTAAGCAAAACTCCCACTAGGTCGTTTGTAAGATCTGGTTCAGAATATATACAATCATTTAGAGACTTGTTTTGTAACTTAGCAGCACAATCAAAGACTATCCGAACTTTACCCGGTTTTTTAGGGTTAAATACGGGATGATGTGGAATCAAATACCTTTCTTCTTCGATAGCTTGAGTTATTCGAGACAAATATCCTTTACTTTCGTGGGTAGCTAATATAATAGTATACTGTTTCCGAAGCTGTTCGTCTTTCAGCAACGTTTTACGTTGGAAGTGAGTGCCAATCCACCTTCCAGGGTATCGGCACTTGATAATGTCCATCGAGCAATACTGTTTGTTTGTCAGTAATCTCCATAATGGTCTTATCACATAGGGGCATGGTAACCTTATCAGAGTACTTATTTTCAGAAAATTCATGTTCAAATAATTTGAGAATATCCTCTTCAAGGGAATTTTTCGCTTTTAAACAGTTCATGAAGACTGAAGTTTTATTAAGTTGACCCGTTGGTCCAAATAAAGCCCACCCTAACATGGTTAGTGAAGCATAGGGTTGTTTAGGTTTTCCGATACGCTGATCGAGTACCCAGTGGGCCTCAGGAACGTCAACATCAAGTAACAAACCAACCTTGTCACAGGCTATGGAGGGTAGTTGTACACCTTTCAAGTGTTTCCATCTTTCTTGGAAGTCCGTTGGTGGGATTTCTGCTCTTTTAATAGGTAGGTTATCTATAGTATATGCACCTTCGATTTTTATTCGGTTGGTCTTATCTAAAGACTCAATTTCGAAATTGGTAAGTTCAGCGTTCTGAGATGACGCTCCAATTACCGAAGATATGTTTAATCTTGTCACTGTACCAGAAATTCCTACCTGCTTTGCCACGTCACTAAGCAGTAATGTCGAGTCTGAGCCATTATCTAACAGTGCATAGGTATCCACGATGTCATGTGGTCTGCCGAACCGTTCATGTAGAATTTTAATTGCCTCAGTATAACCTTCCTTTTCTGGTAATAAAACACAGTGTTTTATAGCATCCTTTGCTATACCTTCGCAATAGTGTATCAGGTACATTAATTTCTGAGTGTCATCATTTACTCTGTCAGCTATGTTAACCTTGAATCCCTTCATGAACGTCCAAAATTTCAGAGGGCTCCCGTCAAATTTCGTGATTTCTATCTTCGGTAAGCTTACTGACATACATAGCGCCTTGACGCTATCTACCTGTGCTTTGAATTGCATTTCATCGTTCGAAGGTACATTGATGTATCGGTGACTTGCTGTGACTACTGAAGTTTTATCCTCAGATCGAGACCCCGACAACTCGGTAGTCTTTCTAGGTCTTCTCACTTTGTTTGAAAAGTTCGGAGTTAGCTCTAACAATCGCCTGCGTAGTTGGAGTTCTCTAATCTCCAGCTTAATCTTTTCTACTTCCCTTTCCCTAGAAACCACTTCTTCTACGCTGTATCTAGTGTCTACATAGTTGTCTCCTACCGAGCAACTGTCTTTGGGGTTAGGTTTAACAATATCAAAGGCAAGATATAAAGGAATAGATGGATTCACCTTAGAAAGTGAAGGAATAATATTTTCAGCACTGGAATTGTCTGTGTCTTGGGAACTGTCATCGTTGTACTTCATTCTTCTCGTTCTAGTCATCGTTGGGATGAACGAACCAAACAGGATTCCGACCAAATTCGTTACAGCAAGTATTCGCTCCAAATAGGACCAAAGTTCAGAACTGTATCCACACCAAATGAGACCAAAGTTGAGAACTGTTAATTCTATCGAAGCGTCCAAGTAACCCCGATTGAGATACGCGCAAAATCGAAGTCCCAAAACAACGATTTGTCTACAAAAGCGGTTCTTTATTAAATAATACACTAAATTTAGTTACAAACATCAACTTGTGAGGTGTCTAGGCGTTTAAACGCGTCGTTCAAGAATGAAAATAGCAAAGGCTTCCTGTAAGAGTAACATAAAGAATGATTACAACATACGATAGTCCAAAGACAGCCGATAGCTGTGTCTAAATTTGATAACAGTTTATGAACAACCGAAACTCGAACCAAGAGCAAACAATATGGAAACTGTTGCATTCAAACAAATGCATAAACTGTGGATAACCTTTACAGTAATTAAATTACAGTGATTATAATGATAAATACAATTATAAGTAAAATAAGCATTAAAGATATATGTGAACATTCCAGAATGTTATAGTACAACTTGAGTTACAACATAAGTGTGGAAATTGTTGGGTATACAGCTGCCTACTGAATGTAAATAAGTAGTATAAAACAACATACAAAAGAGTAGAAAAGGAACATGTAGGAACAATGTGAAACAAACATAACAATACTTAGTAAGTATCGCCTGTCACGTGGAAGGCCCGGGTTCGATTCCCGGTCGAGGAGCCTCTGGAAGGTGGATCGAAAGTAAGGAAAGACATGCTGTCTTTGGGGGGCGGTGTTAAGTTTGTTTCACATTGTTCCTACATGTTCCTTTTCTACTCTTTTGTATGTTGTTTTATACTACTTATTTACATTCAGTAGGCAGCTGTATACCCAACAATTTCCACACTTATGTTGTAACTCAAGTTGTACTATAACATTCTGGAATGTTCACATATATCTTTAATGCTTATTTTACTTATAATTGTATTTATCATTATAATCACTGTAATTTAATTACTGTAAAGGTTATCCACAGTTTATGCATTTGTTTGAATGCAACAGTTTCCATATTGTTTGCTCTTGGTTCGAGTTTCGGTTGTTCATAAACTGTTACCAAATCTAGACACAGCTATCGGCTGTCTTTGGACTATCGTATGTTGTAATCATTCTTTATGTTACTCTTACAGGAAGCTTTTGCTATTTTCATTTTTGAACGACGCGTTTAAACGCCTAGACACCTCACAAGTTGAGGTTTGTAACTAAATTTTGTGTATTATTTAATAAAGAACCGCTTTTGTAGACAAATCGTTGTTTTGGAACTTCGATTTTGCGCGTATCTCAATCGGGGTTACTTCGACGCTTCGATAGAATTAACAGTTCTCAACTTTGGTCTCATTTGGTCTGGATACAGTTCTGAACTTTGGTCCTAATTGGAGGGAACACTTGCTGTAACGAAATTTGGTCGGAATTCTGTTTGGTTCATTCATCCCAACGATGACTAGAACAAAAAGAATGAAGTACAACGATGACAGTTCCCAAGACACAGACAATTCCAGTGCTGAAAATATTATTCCTTCACTTTCTAAGGTGAATCCATCTATTCCTTTATATCTTGCCTTTGATATTGTTAAACCTAACCCCAAAGACAGTTGCTCGGTAGGAGACAACTATGTAGACACTAGATACAGCGTAGAAGAAGTGGTTTCTAGGGAAAGGGAAGTAGAAAAGATTAAGCTGGAGATTAGAGAACTCCAACTACGCAGGCGATTGTTAGAGCTAACTCCGAACTTTTCAAACAAAGTGAGAAGACCTAGAAAGACTACCGAGTTGTCGGGGTCTCGATCCGAGGATAAAACTTCAGTAGTTACAGCAAGTCACCGATACACCAATGTACCTTCGAGCGATGAAATGCAATTCAAAGCACAGGTAGATAGCGTCAAGGCGCTATGTATGTCAGTAAGCTTACCGAAGATAGAAATCACGAAATTTGACGGGAGCCCTCTGAAATTTTGGACGTTCATGAAGGGATTCAAGGTTAACATAGCTGACAGAGTAAATGATGACACTCAGAAATTAATGTACCTGATACACTATTGCGAAGGTATAGCAAAGGATGCTATAGAACACTGTGTTTTATTACCAGAAAAGGAAGGTTATACTGAGGCAATTAAAATTCTACATGAACGGTTCGGCAGACCACATGACATCGTGGATACCTATGCATTGTTAGATAATGGCTCAGACTCGACATTACTGCTTAGTGACGTGGCAAAGCAGGTAGGAATTTCTGGTACAGTGACAAGATTAAACATATCTTCGGTAATTGGAGCGTCATCTCAGAACGCTGAACTTACCAATTTCGAAATTGAGTCTTTAGATAAGACCAACCGAATAAAAATCGAAGGTGCATATACTATAGATAACCTACCTATTAAAAGAGCAGAAATCCCACCAACGGACTTCCAAGAAAGATGGAAACACTTGAAAGGTGTACAACTACCCACCATAGCCTGTGACAAGGTTGGTTTGTTACTTGGTGTTGACGTTCCAGAGGCCCACTGGGTACTCGATCAGCGTATCGGAAAACCTAAACAACCCTATGCTTCACTAACTATGTTAGGGTGGGCTTTATTTGGACCAACGGGTCAACCTAATAAAACTTCAGTCTTCATGAACTGTTTAAAAGCGAAAAATTCCTTTGAGGAGGATATTCTCAAATTATTTGAACATGAATTTTCTGAAAATAAGTACTCTGATAAGGTTACCATGCCCCTATGTGATAAGACCATTATGGAGATTACTGACAAACAAACAGTATTGCTCGATGGACATTATCAAGTGCCGATACCCTGGAAGGTGGATTGGCACTCACTTCCAAGGAATAAGAGCGAAATAGAAAAACGATTAATTTACCTACGTACAACGTTGCTGAAAGACGAACAGCTTCGGAAACAGTGTACTATTATATTAGCTACCCACGAAAGTAAGGAAAGACATGCTGTCTTTGGGGGGCGGTGTTAAGTTTGTTTCACATTGTTCCTACATGTTCCTTTTCTACTCTTTTGTATGTTGTTTTATACTACTTATTTACATTCAGTAGGCAGCTGTATACCCAACAATTTCCACACTTATGTTGTAACTCAAGTTGTACTATAACATTCTGGAATGTTCACATATATCTTTAATGTTTATTTTACTTATAATTGTATTTATCATTATAATCACTGTAATTTAATTACTGTAAAGGTTATCCACAGTTTATGCATTTGTTTGAATGCAACAGTTTCCATATTGTTTGCTCTTGGTTCGAGTTTCGGTTGTTCATAAACTGTTACCAAATCTAGACACAGCTATCGGCTGTCTTTGGACTATCGTATGTTGTAATCATTCTTTATGTTACTCTTACAGGAAGCTTTTGCTATTTTCATTTTTGAACGACGCGTTTAAACGCCTAGACACCTCACAAGTTGAGGTTTGTAACTAAATTTTGTGTATTATTTAATAAAGAACCGCTTTTGTAGACAAATCGTTGTTTTGGGACTTCGATTTCGCGCGTATCTCAATCGGGGTTACTTCGACGCTTCGATAGAATTAACACCCAGTCATTTAGTCATATGTAGAGTAGAATCTAACACAAGCGTATAAGTTTAAATTACCCGACACCATGTTAGCACAGTAAGATAGAATGATTTTACTACAAATCCCAGAGTAGTAGAAGTGGCAACAGTTATAAGTAACAGTAAAAAAAAGGGATTAGCTACAGAAAATGGAAAAAAAACGTATGATAGGATTTCTGAACTCAAATTCTAAAACAAAACAAGGAGTGAGTAAACCTGCACTATTGATTCTGAGCAACGACACACAAATTCTAATTGTGGGCTACCATAATCACATAGACACAAACCATTTAGTCTATACCTAACTATATGGCTTAATTCAACAGTCAATGAATCCAAGTCTTAGATTGGTCATCTTCAGTTTTCTTTAAAACTACTTGGACAACATCACCAGTCAAGATAGGAAATAGTCTGGCATATAAAACACATGTTCTAAGCACCTCATTTGATGGACATTCACTACCTCATCAACCGATTCGCCATATTTACCTAGTATCCTATGCATAAACTTGGTCCCAAAATACACGAGCAATACTCTGAAGACACTTACGATCGAATATTCAAAACTCTTAATGACGGTTTCCCATTCATAAAGTAGAACAAAATGTTCCAGCAATATCTATAATTCGTGATAAACAATTTAAATATGTTTTTGACTGAGATCATGAGTTGACTGATGTTAGACTACCATGGAAAACCTGGAAGCACTCAATGGCCGTTTCGTCCTATTCTAGGACTGCTCAGCGGTGCGCACCCACGACCCCGCTCGCAGGATTCGAACCCACAGTAGGACAAAATGGCAGTCCAGTACTTCCACGTTCTCAATGGTGGTCTAACATCAATTGGTTCATGATCTCAATCAAAGACTTAGTAATCTACACAACCTTATATTGATAATTAAAATATATATTAAACAAACCGAGTACTGAAAATGGTACTTGATAAATGAGCTACACTGCATATTACATAATTCCGTAAGAGAGTTATCCGAGAACTGATATATATAAACACATTTATGTAAAGAATATTTTCACTTAAAATAGTATGTTATAAGTAAGATTTACCGTTCTTTGTTAGTATACTTTAAATGCTTTCGTTTTTCAACAATCGGTAGATAAGCTGGAATGATTGCTTCAGCACACGACTAGAAATAATAAAATCAAAAGGCATGGAGAAAAAGTGTTTTATTTACAATTAGTTTATTGTATAATTCGAATTAGTTTTTCTAGTTAGCGCCTTTTTTCAAAGAGGACACACATTGCATTGAGGAAAGCACCCAAATGCGTCACAAGGCAAGCCCTCAACATGGAATCCTCAGGGTCAAAGGAGAAGAGGAAGACCAAAAAACACATTACGCCGAGAAATGAAGACAGATATGAGAAAAATGAACAACAATTGGATAGAACTAGAAAAGAAGGCTCAGGACAGTGTGGGTTGAAGAATGCTGAACGGCGGCCTATTCTCCACTGGGAGTAACAGGCGTAAGTATGTATTGCATAACTTAATATGAAAATCTCTTTAAACACTTTTAGTCACTAAAACAGTCGGCAATTACTTTAACAGTGTTGAGGATTCCCTAAAATATCCTTCATCAAATACTTCAACAACCTATAAAACATCTTGAAGCATTTTATCCAGCTAGTGTTGAGAAGAAGTATCTCCGAAATATCTAGGAAACGAAAAATCATCTATCACAATTTTGATTAGATGATTGAGTACATCGTTACTATATTTAGTATGTTTCCAGAAAGTTCTAGAAGATCAAGGCCAAGTGTAACTCTATAAATACGGTCGATTCTCCATACATGAACTAAATATGAAGTGAAGCTCATACGCTTTTTTCACTTTTCTTTGAGTGTATATATGGTCTGGGGTTATAGGAAGTTCGTAAAAGCTGTCCAAATAACAGGAATAAGATTATAAATCGACCGCAAACCCCCGGCCGAGTAGAAAAATTAATGGTTACTAGAAATAAACACTAGCATATCTGTTGCAATGAGAATTGAAGATATGACATGCATTGAAGACAGTGACTTTTGTTACTATGCGATTAATAAAATATATTTATCCAGAATTATCAAATGTTATGACCTAAGAGTTGCTATAAACAAAATCCTCTGTAATAGGCTCCTCCTCTTAAAGCTATTAACTGATGAAATCACATTAACCTATAGACAATTTCGTTGTTCACAGACCCAGAAACATGAGAAGTGATGAGGTTACAAGTAGTTTCCTAAAAATGGGTTAATCTGTGATGATGACCTCATAGGTTACTTTGGTGAGTCCATAAGAAAAAATCGCCTTACCGTAGGGAGACTGAGTCATATTGTAACGTTGTACGCCATTATAAAATAACCCCTTGGATTCTTGGGAGCTCAATATAAAAGATAACGTGTGAAAGAATTTTAAGAACTTGCGTCTAAATTTCATCGAATAATTTCACGGTATTTGGGCGCCGAGTTGATGTGAGACATTAAAGAGGAAGAGGGTATTTGTAAAATCTCAGACAATTAATTTGAAATCAAACGTTTCGCCTGGCAATCTGGTATAAGCTTTTTCAAGGAAATATAATCAAACGTCAAAATTATTGAGTGAGCTTTCTCCAATGAGCGTCATTTTGTTTCGCTTCGCTTTTTCGCTTGGTTTCTCTGAACGTCTGTCTCGATTGACGACTGTATGAAATATAAGTATCACATTTGACATACTTAATTCCATTATTCAATAACGCGATTTAAGTCGACGATTGTATACGAGGTTTGGTGGCATGTATATTTCGATAGCAAACATTCGTCCTAACTGGAATCAGATACTGGGTCACTAAATCGGTGAGTCCGTCGACAACATCATCGTACGATCTAATTTCTCAAAATGAGGAACCTCAGAGAAAAAATAACCAATTTTCGACCACTTATTTGTTCAAAATATTGGGATGATGAGAGCAGTTTATACATTAGTTAAGATGTGTCAAGGATAGAAACCTACACTGAGACGGTGGAGATTTGTAGTTCAGGTGGATGATTTTGATGGAGTTTTGTTCTCTGAGCTGCATGGTTTGGTTATGAAGCTTTCATCGTTCATCAGAACAAACTTCAGGTAGAAGTGAAGTGCTCAAATTTCTCTATATATCACTCACAGCTTGTCCTGTAGACCTCGATGTTAACTGGTTCTTGTTTACCTTAAATCTATCATTGTTGTTGATATGTGTGGGTCGGCTTCCGATATACTTGAGTTTCCAATTTTCCTGTGTCGGTTCTGGGGATTCATAAAGGAGCATATAGGAAGCCGACCCACACATATCAAATTCTCAACTACTATAACAACAACCTAAGAGCTCACAAAATCAACTGCGTACAAACTATTCAAGAGGGCAAAGACACAATACAACACACTGGCAGCACGAAAGAATGAAGACAAATACCTGAAGACTGTCTTCCAAAAGAACGGCTACCCAATCAACTTCATCAAAAAGTACCATCCGAACAAGTCACCAGAAAAAAAGTCAAGTACAGAAATCGACAAAAGGATCACCCTACCATACATAAAAGGTATATCAGAAATTGCAACGAGATTGCTGAAAACCTTCGGAATAGGTGTTGCGTACAAATCAATGCATGTGGACAACTGCGGACACTCATTTGACTGGAAAAATGTGGAAATCTTACATAGAGGAAATTCCAAAAACACCAGAGAATTTTCAGAAGCTTGGCACTCAGGTCAATCAGCAATCAACAAGCACATTTAAATCGATCCAATTTATCAACCAATCAGGAAAAGTATGCACTAACTTAGGACCAAAAGTCAACCTAATGGGAGATACAACCAAAACAAAAAAGTGAACAATGACAGGTTCAAGGTCAACAAGAACCAGTTAACATCGAGGTCTACAGGACAAGCTGTGAGTGATATATGGAGGAATTCGAGCACTTCACTTCTACCTGAAGTTTGTGCTGATGAACGATGAAAGCTCCATAACCAAACCATGCAGCTCAGAGAACAAAACTCTATCAAAACCTACACCAAGCTTCAAATGTACAGTCTACACACATTCAAAAGATATCCATTTTGAAGTTTGAATGATAATAATTGATATCAGTAAACCTTTTAAGCTCTTTCCAACAACAAAGTTAATTATTCGCACTATAACAGTAAAGATTTTCCCTAAAATCAATACAATTGAGTGGCGAAACAATTAGTAAATATTAACGTAGGGAGTTTTTAGTTTACATTATGGAATAACGTTAGTTGAACAATCAAAAGTTATTGGGCAACTATTCCGTTCTAGTATGGCGATCCTTAGCAGTGGGGGGTTGAAACCAGGACCCATCAATAATATTCGATGATTAGACAATATTGCGAAATGAATAAATATAGACATGTAAGCCAGTGAAAGCTGGTTCAAAAGTCTAATGAGTGCACGCTAATCGTGAGACTTGAATGTTCTGGGTTCGATAACCGACGGGATCATGGATCCTCATTAGTGAGAATTCACATACCATGACGAAACAATTGTTTAGTGTTCTTAACTGTTGTACACTTGAGGCCATTCTATGATGCAAACTATAAAAACAGAGATTATGCTCAGGGAATTTTTTTTTAAAAGAAAAGACACTTACTTTTACAAAACTGAATACTTTTTCTTGTGAGGTACCATCTAAATCGTCGAAAAATATTCCACCAACACCACGTGTCTCACCTGACAAGGTAAGAAAGAAGGAAGACCCAATAGTCTTTAAGATACATGTTAACACCTTTGTACTATTTTTTTCCTATGGGCTATTATGACCCTATTGGTTACCTATCAATTTAATAAACAACTTTATGCTCCTGTGTTAAAGATCTACTATGAACCATAAATACAGACGTTTTGGATTCATAGTCACTTTTATTTAGCTTGAATGGTGAAGCCTTTCTCCTAAGTGCTACTTACCCAATCTTCCTTGATACTACGTCCCCTGTTGTATTTTCGCTTTCTCACTACTGTTTCATCTATCTCCACAATACATCCTACTCCTCCGAATGATTGGTGTACACGTGTCATTTTAATTGCACATATGACCCACCATTGAACCCAATTGATTTGGGGGTTTGTGCTACTTCCCCTAAATTTACTAAAGCGGCTCCCCCAAAATGGGCCAAATTTTCCCCGAAATTGGCAGCTCAGGACTGGACTGATGAAGTTTCAGTAACATCTGCAAACGCCACAGCCAGTGTTACTGGTGTCTTTATTATCCAATTTGCAACTATTATCATGATCTGCCTCAGTTTCAGTCGCGATCGAGCGAAGAAAGTCCCCGTTCGAGAAGACCTTTTCCTCCAACATGAAGAACAACGAAATACAATCTCATCACGGTAGTCTGCACACTTTGCTGCAGTCATTTGATAACCGCAGTCACAGGTACAGGAACTTCTTAGTAGTCTCATCTCTTGTAGCCTGTCAATAATCACCTCTTCTCTAAAATCCGCTGTAAACCAATCGTATATGAGCATCCGGTGTTGTACTTGGCTCCGTGACCTTGAAGTTGCTCAAACGCTTCTGATTGGCTCGTCCATAAATTAGAGTCTCACCCGCTTCGCTCTAATCCGCAGACACGGTCACAACAATTGGCGATGGGGTAAAAAAATAAAATCCAAGGTCAGCCTGTAATTGGACGAAATTCAGTCTAATTATTTCGAACAGTCAGCATCTAGATTGGTCATCGGTGTCCTTGGAAGACATTGGTTGTTAAGAAATGGCTATCTCTCCCGACCAATTACGGTTGCTACTTGAGCGACAACAGCAGCGTTTCAAAAATAGCCAGTTGAATATTTTGGACAACTTACGCACACAGCTGCTAAATCATCCATGTTTTGGAGATGCGACAGAAGTTGATAAGTTAATTTCTCATCTGCATACCGAGCTGGAAAATAACTGCAGAACATATGAAGGTGTCTATAAAAGCCTCTATGAATCCTTTACGAGCATGATGTAAACGAAGCAGTCACTCAAGATCCACCCGGTGGTCCAGTACTCTCCATTCTAGAAACATGCCCTGTCATGGATTCAAACTCCATTGTCCCCGAAATGGCATATACAGACAGTGACGTATCCAGCTCACAAGAAGATCCCCTCGTTCTGCCAGAAAATATGTCATACGCATCAAATAATAATCAAGAACCTGGTGCAGTTTTGCTGAACGCTAATTGTTATAGTGATCCACTATCTACTAGTGAGGTTCTCCATAAATTTGGTCGCAATATTTCAGAAGAATCAAACTTCGATCACCTCATATCAAGTGTCGTTCAGCCTCACCACTCAGTCACTTCCAGTCGATCCTCTGTTCAGTGCGACAAATATGTCTTAAATAAATTCAAATTAATTGTGACTTTGGCATATGAGGATCCAACACTGTTTCGCGGGGGAGGATGGACTCGAAAATTTAAAATTCGGATATCAACTCCGGATCTTCAAAAAAGAAGAGGTGTTGTCTCCCGATAAGAGTAATGAATGGTAATTATGGGGATGCATTTACGGACCAATATTATGATTATATTTTTATCGTATAATTGTTATGTAACTAAACTGTTCATATTCATGTCCCTCTTATTGTGAGCTTTATTTTGACCTATGAACTATTATTATACGATTTGCCATTTATGAATTATTCTCTGTTTGTTCATCGCTACCTCCCTCATTCACGGCCACATCTGGCTAATTCTTGTACAATGTCGTTTCTTATTTTATTGGTACGTTGTGGTCGGTTTGATTGGTATATAAACTCAGTATGCTTGAAATATAATGATTCATATCTCAGAGGCTGAGACCTGCGTTCTGGACTCAACTGGCTGGGCTAGACAGGGAAGCAGGACCAATCAGGACTCTACGTTGTTTTTACGTGTTTACGCGTCTTTGGTCCGATCGATAAATACGCTTCGCTCTAATCTGCAGTCCACAAGACACAACACTAACTAAGACTCGTGAACTGCAAACACGAGACTGGCTTCAGATCTAGTCGTGTTTGTATCGACCACATATTCACTATTCGTCACGTCAGTTTTTAGAGCACAGGCATGCTAATCGGCGTCCGACAATGACATTTCTTGATCTAAAAGCAGCATTTGACCCTGTACACCGAGAGGTTCTGTGGCAGTGAAGGGTGTACCTCAGGAGTACATAAACCTTGTGTACGCTCATTACTCGAACACTACTAGTCCAGTCAGAGCTTATGGTGAACTGTCATTTGATTTTGCAACCTCAAGTAGTGTCCGTCAAGGCTGTCCATTATCTCCATTTTTGTTTAACTTCATCATAGACCTACTGCTGGAAATAACGCTCTCGTCGACTGGATTTTCGGGCATTGATCTCCTATCAGGAGGTCCACCTATCGGCTTAAGATACGCAGATGATATAGTCCTGTTTAGTGAAGACGCTGATAAAATGCAGAGTCTTTTGGTAGCACTGAGCGACGATGCCAGAATTTTTGGGATGTGTTTCTCCATTTTTAAATGCAAGTGGTTGTTCCGGGACTGGTCTAAGTCAACAGCTTATGGAGGGTTTTGAAGTGAAGTAGTCGAACGCGTTGACATCTTCACTTTTCTTGGAAGTCTGATCAGCCCTAATGTGTTGGTGTCTGACGAAATCTCAGCACGGATTCAGAATGCTCATTTGGTTTTTGCCAACTTACGTCACCTATGGCGAAGGCGAGATATTCGTCTATTAATAAAAGGACGAGTATATGGCGCGGCAATTCGTTCCGTTCTACTTTAAGGTTGCGAAACATGGCCATTAAGAGTTGACGATACTTGTAAGCTACAAGTATTTGATCACAGATACCTTAGAAATATTGCTGGCATCTGCTGGAATCAACGGGTAAGTATTAGTGAGGCTAGAAGCGCAGGGTATTAGGGAGTGATGGTATATCAGTTGATGAGATTGCAACTCTTCGTCGACTGAGATGGTCGGGTCACGTGTTGTGTTGCGTATGCCTGAACACCAATTACCACGACGTGCAATGGTAACTGGTGTTGGGGATTGTTGGAAGAAAGTTAGGGGCGGGCAAACCAAAACGTGGCATCAGTGCTTGAAGTCACTGACTTCTGATCTGAGCCATGTTGGTAGATGCAGACTTTTTGTTTGTGGTCCACCTGACTATCGTAACCATTGCTTGGAGAAGAAGTCCAAAGAACACATTACTCCGAGTAATGTAGACAGACATGAGAATGATGTCCATATATTCAATCCTTCTTTTATATATTACCACCATTGAAATGACTACTTCTATGAATTTTGTGTTCCTCTTGCCATGCTAATGAGGTATGGCAACTTGGACCGATGCATATATGTGCCTGGTCCTATGTTGTAGCTGACTGACTGACCGACTAGTGACCTATGAATATCCTTTATTTCTAAAGATCACATTTCCAAACCATAAATTAGAGTACCATGAACTATCGTGCAGTGTATTTGTTATTCGCTGGCAAGACAGACATTTCGCCTACACCATAAGTGACGCAAGTTAAGAAACTCCAACCGACCTTCCTAAGTCTATGCCGATACTTCATCAGACACCAACCATTCAAGGCTTATGAGACTTTTAAGATAAGCGAAATGGTCAGTGTGTTAAACTACTAATTCACTCCTTATCATTAGTTTAAGCGTTGATACAGATCAGTCCTGAAGTAATACTGAAATCAAAATTCAATGTTGCGCATTATCAGTTTTAAATAATTAGTGATAAGCCCTTATCATACTACTGATATGTTTGTAACAAGCATCAGTAAATATTTGCTTTAAAAAAAATAACACTTACCTCGATGTGTCAGATAGAAATAATCATCACACCATTTTTTAAAACGTGGATAAAAAGATTCGTTATGTTGATCACAAGCCAATTTTAATTGCTCATGAAAGTGTTTAGCATCTTCATTAAATAAGTAGTATGGAGTTAAATCTGCTCCGCCGCCATACCACCAACATTTACGATTGTTACCCAAATCAACTTCGAAGTAACGAAAATTAAAGTGTGTTGTAGGGACATATGGATTAAGCTTGGAAATGGAAAAAAGTAGAACCACCGGTAAGAAGAGACATCAAATAGTGATACTTCTCAACAGTGGGCATCCACGACCCCACAACCAGAAAATCAAACCAATCCAGGACCTTCGAACTCGCGCCCGGATTTCGACTAATCCATGGTACTGAGCGATCAGCCTTCATTACCAGTGGTGGATAAATTCCTAACACCCGATATGGTTAAACTCCAATGTTCATGAATTCTCAATAGAACTCCGGGGACTTTTTCTTGGAGATAGCCACTAGTGGAAGAATGATAACTATCAGTAAAAGGTTGTGGAGACTGTTGAATCACATTGATATCACGAAGCGATCTCAGAAAACGATTAAAAGTCTAGACAGCCGCTTCGTCCTGGTGTAAAACTCCTTACCATTGAGCATCCATAGTCCCATAGCCGGGAATCAAAACCAAGACTTATAGTCTAGTCCGCAAACACCTGAAACGATCGTTCAGTGTTTCTCAAGTTCGCACTGACTCGTGACATCAACAAAATCAAAGCCTCTTGTTTCCTTAGGATTCTGTAGCCCATGTGCACCATTGGTCTGGAATGAGGGTTTTCCGACTTCTTTAGGTGGACCCTCCATATCCACCAACCCGGTTAAAGCGTTGGACATTCGCTTTTCATCCTCTCAATTCTGTAAACAAAACCCTCGCCGCGAGAAGGTAGTGAGTAGGACTTCCGTGGCAATGATTGTATGTACGTAGCCATATGAGAGCATTTGAAGAGGAAGAGCTGACTCTTCCCACTCTCGAACGTACCACGGAATTTGAGGGCAGGTACAGCATAAGTAGAAACGGTGTCTGATACGGAAATACAATTCAGGATATCTAAATGAAGTTACTTTAATGCGAAAAGGAAAACGTTTTTCGAAAATAAACTTACTGGATGAATAACTGAACTGATACCACAAGCGAAAAATTTGCACTCTTTATTAGGATCAATTTCATTATGTCTATAGAAAAAAAAGAGAAAAAGATTATGTTCACTAACAGTTTAATATACGTAAAACCGAAGAAATGAGATTTACGATTTAATGGTTGATGTTATTTCAGATGTTATTGAGACAGGTAATAATATTGGGCAGCTATTGCATCACTGCGTTCGAAACTCCTTGACAGTATACACTGATAAACCTTCATCAGAGACCAAACTAAGAATTTTTAGATTTAGTGGTAAGCGTATTTAAATGTCTAAATCACTGAGATGTGATTCAGTGGTACATTATCAACCTTAACCATGCCATTAATTGGTCATTATCAAAATGTAATTAATGATAACTGTCTCATTGAACTCTATCTATCATGACTTCTTATTACCAAAATATTGGTAATCTTGAAGTCAATTGCTATTACTCAACATATGATTACTGTTTATTTCTAAGTTTCATTCTATGTAGATGTGTATCAAAAAGTTGGCCCAAAACAAAGAAGAGATACAGTTGTTTACTACTCTATAGTTGTTGCTCATCTGAGACAAAAACTACCGTTGTATTGTAACTAATCAGAAAATTTGAACACCTAACCCTAAAAGTAAACTAAAATTTATTTTCAACTTACAGATATAATCTATGCTATCTATTTGGAAACAAATTACATATATTAGAATGGAAAGAAAACTGTAGTTAGGTATTCAAAAATTGTGTTATAATAATAAGTGTTAGTCTGAACACATCCACTGTATCCAATTACATGTAAATCATCTGGTTGAATTAAATATGATTTTAGTGGTCTTATATCTGACTCAAATTAGATCGTATGAATGATTGCTGTCGATAAATACATCCTGACTATCGACTTAATACGCGTTAGTGAATAACGGAATTAAATAAGTCAAATATGAGAATGAATTTCGAACACGTATATTTTGCACGATCGTTGATCGGAACAGACAATCAGAGAATCGCAGCGAACGAAGCGAAGAAGAGAGAGAGAGTCAAGTGAAACTAAAGGATGCGCAATGGGAAAGGCAAATGAGCCGACTCCATTTAACCAAGCGTTAATCAATATTTACAGTCACACAAAAATAAGTTGCAGATATGTGATAAATGGAATAAAAAGGGCACACATATACGCTTACATAAAAACAGTCAAGATTGATAAGTGAATAATTAACAAGGTCAAAACGTGACACAACAAGAACTGATAAATTGACCTGTCCAGAAGCTAGAATAAATTATTATATGGGCTTAACATAGTAACCGACATTACATGACTATCGTAGCCAATTATACGAGACGTTGAACAAAATATCTCAGAATCAGTCACACAGCTTGGACGTACTCACTCTTTGACGTCAAAATACTCACACCTTTCATTACACAAATCGATTGTTCTTCTTGAATCATATTATTATCACCGATACTACCATCACTTCTACTACTCTAGTATTTGTCTTAATAATTTGATTACTCTTTGTTGATGCGATGTGGTAACTTGAAGCAATGCATATATATGTGGCAGGTTCAATGTCACTCATAACTAAATGGATACATTTAACATGCTTCTGTAAAACGACGCATAAATATAAGGGTATATGGATTTGAAAATGGGAGCATGCGATGCAGAGATAAAGAAACTAATTAATCTGTGAAACCAGTGGAAAACATTCTTGCAGAGATTACTCTAAAAGTATGCGATATTATCATGGATAAGTATCCATGAAGTTAGCAGAATAAATAAGTTCATTCAATAATGATAGTCGCGAATTTCATGTATAAAAGCAATAAGGCTTACCACTACTACTGAGTCCGTTGTTAAATAAGCGTTCCAAATTAAAAATAAACTGAATTTTTCCTGAAGTTGGCTGAGAATTTACTTTAGTATTCTCCAAAGTTTGAGGTGTGGAACAGAACTGTACACTACCTCCTCCACCTCCGAAAACCAAAGTTTCACACATCAAACCAACCTATGTTAAACAAACATTGAAAGCCAGGAAACATTGGACGGATATCTCGTCTTTGCATGAAACTCCCCTGCAATGAGTACCCACAGCTCCAATAAGGTTTGAACCCAAGCACTTTAGTCCTCGCGTCGAGAGCCTAACCTTCAGATCACTGGTTTACCATCCAGTGGCTTACATTTCTAACTCTAAACAAATCGTGATATTTCAAGACATTCCTGCGTAGCCACTAGTGAAATCTATCTCACACCCAACATGTAGTCAAGCTCCCCTGACAACGGCTTTTCATTAGAATTGATGGTTGTTTAGCATTGCCAATTGACCAAAGTTAGAAAATGCAAGCCACTGAATGCCAGCTAAGTGATCTAAAGGTTAGGTGCATATGGTGCGATGTTTGAAGGTTCTGGACGTCTCATCTCTGATATAATGCTGGATGTGCACAACTAAGTCTCCCATAAGAACGAAGTAGTCGCTCAATATTTCCTAGTCTTCAGTGGTTATCTGATCATAATCAAATCTAACATTCTTCACAATACCGTATAGTAATTATTATGAAATCACAGAATATAAAAAACAACTTTTACATTTGACAAATAAAAACCAAGAGAATCCTGTTAAAATAATACAATTAAAAAGAATTATGAAAAAGAGATCAGAGAAACAAACAGCTAACCTTGCACGCATTTCTTTCACAGCTTGAGCGCTAAGGTTCCCACTTATCACACTGATGTTTACACCAGCCTTTTCAAAAACATCACCATTCTCTAGAACACATGAAATTCCGCCACCACCCTATTTATGAAAAAAAGTGTACATACATATGGAGAGAGGGGATACAACGGATGTTTGCAATTGTACTAAAAATACTGACAGATAGTGTTAGGATATCCGGAAAAATATACCAATAATTATCATGTTAAGTCTAATAGTGTCCTTGGACTTTAAATGGACATTCCCTATTGGTCAATATTTATTTCACTTGTTAAATATTGTACAAATGTTGTTTTCTACTTTACGGTACGATGTTGTTTGTTTGGTTGGTATATAAACAGAGTGTGTCTGAAATATAATGATTCATATCTGAGGCTGAAACTTGCGTTCTGAACTCAACTGGCTGGGCTAGGCAGCGAAGCAGGGCCAATCGGGACTCTAGGTCGTTCGTACGTGTTTGCGCGTCTTTGGTCCGATCGACTTAGCAAACGTGTTCTAATGTAACTGAACTTCTGTGATTGAAGACTGCAGATGAGAATGAGTGCTTTAAATTGGTCTTCAGTAAGTGACTTCAACCGAAAGCGTTCACATTCTCGGTTGACGATACCCACATGTGTGAAAAAATTATCATCTTCGTTCATAGTGAGCTTCAAACATCGATAGCGCGCATTGAATAGTGAGGACTTGTCGTCGAATTGTTGGCTCAATGACTGGATCGATAATTCGCTGACCTCAAATCTGCAGCATCACAGTCATAACAGATAGATATGCTGAACTTTGAAAAATCATATAAGGTTCTGTAAAATCTCTTGTATGAATTTCGGCGATACTATAAGGTTGACCAACTTAAAGTAAATGGATTATGCTTTTAAACTTGTAACACTGGTCAAAAATCTCGATCAATTGATTGGTTCAATCATGCATCTTAAACTTATCCCATGTATACACATAACTCTCTCTAGCCTTTTGAAGAAAGAAAGAACAAAGATTTAAGTAGAATAACATGATTCTATTTTATTTTGTTCGGTTCCTGTTAGCTGCTTACAAAAACTTTCAATATCTAAAAATCTTAACTAGAAAATGGGTTGAAAATGTTTACATAAATACGTTTAGTTGGAGGAAGTGCTAAACAGACATCGATATAGAGTATAGTAAGAATGTGAGGAAATTCAATAAATTCACATCTTACTTGGAAGAACATATGTTCCTCCATATCTCCATCCAGTTTAAAAAAGCAGGTGTTTGGAAGAATAGTCTTTTCAATATGTTCTTATAACCTATGATTAAAATCTAAATTAACGTCCTGAAGAGGATAGCCAGGTTTAAGGAAAATACATAATTTAAAATGAACGTTTATGAAAGTTTGGATTGTTAGTGGAAATAAAATAGAATTGTTATCATTGAAATAACTAATATGTCAATGCTGAAATGACTAATGTATAGTGTTAAACTAGTTTATATAATCATTGTAATCGTGAGATTAACAATACAAGTAGATATAAATAACACTGAGAAACAACAATGTAACTACAAATCAGAATGAATATTGACCATAAATTACGTAATATATAGAATGATATGAATTGGGTGAGAGATAATAACTTGGAGTGGGGTGCTAATTCAGACTGGAAAGAAGGACACCTGATCAAGATACCAAAAGGAAAGATATCTGAGCAAGCGTGAGAACTACATAGGCATCACTATTCTATCGCTAATTCAATTTTTCAAACGCTTAGCAGAGTCATGATCATAATAATATAAGTGAACAGGGTAGGTTTAAAGCATGGAAATGTAGAAAGAGAAAGGTTGTAAGGAGACTAATCACATATCACTATTTCGATAAAATGACTAGTAAGTTATTGGGCTTGAAGTCGCCCAAGGCGAGGGGTCAGACATATTTCTTCTAAACTCAAAGCTGAAGCTTTTTAGCCTGAATAGCTATTGCTTCGACGGTGTGTAAAATTCCTAGTCTGACGGATTTAAGCATATAACTATTAACACCGTAAATGACTGATCGGCGTTGGCTGTATAGCCCGTTTGTACAAAATGTTAACTATAGCCCTGCTTAACAACGAAGGGGTGTTGACGAGCACGAAAGTACAAATCCCTGAAACATTTATCACTATAACTTGCTCCATAAGAGTAAATAAGTTGATAGACGTAGGAAAAGCTGGTTAGTGCAGGTAATTTACTTTTTTAATTTCGGAGTAAACATAGAACGTGTAGAAAGCCCTAATTGTAGTTTACCTGCATTGAATGCTTTTTAAATTGTTCTGCGCAGTTTTAACATTAACATTTCTCTGAGTGTGTACCATAAACAGCATAAACGGAGACATTTTACTTGACGTTAGGACTAAATCCTCATTTATGAGTCTCTCCCAGTACCTGTTTTCCTTTAGGGTATTACACAGTACAGTTGTTCACAATTACAATGAAATGCACCAACTACATTTCGTTTATATTGTAGAGAAACGAAACTAGCGAAACTTGTTTACTCCTCCATCCAAGTAGTTCTCTTGTTCAAGTTCCTTTATAATGACCCATTTACTCTCTCTGTAAATAGGACACCTAGAAGGGTTATTATGCACCTATTTTTTCCCACATGTAAATTTAGGAGGAGGGTGAACTTCACCAAATCTTTGAATGCCTACCAGGTCAATATAGTCTTTACAAAGGATCAACACAGAATTCACATTTCGGCAGCAAAATTTTCCAGTGAACCATTCTCTAGCTTATCTAGAAAAAAGCCAGCTAATATGAGACACAATGATGAAACTATTGCGACACCTATTTGTCCACATATTTTCCTGTTGAATATGAATTTTACATTCATGGTGTATTTTAATGATCTCTTCTATAATATGCACTGGAATCACAGTTTCTGCTCTGTGTTCTGTATTCACCTGACATGATTTATGAGTTTGAAAAACTCAGAGGTCAATCAACACAGTTATAAACTTAACAATATTTATAAACAAGTGGAACGTCGGATTAGCAGTCTAAAGCATTTGGTTTTTGATTACTGAATTACAGGCACTTATTCAACTCTATTCAGTTTGGTCTAGGCAATGAGTTGGTTGGTATTACTAACTTACATATGTACAGAAAAGTGGGACTCAAAAACGAAGTGCATGGATCTTCACCGACTGACGACTGTATAGTGAATTCCGGTTTGCTACTTAAGGGTGTGGAAATCACCCAATGAGTTTTAGGTAAGAAATGGTTATCCGCCTATTACGGTTTGAACAACCGGTAAATGTCAAACTTAAGTTCACAGGCCTTTACCCGGTAAATGAGTTGGATATAAACTAAGCTTGAAAATGGAAAACGGAATATCATAACTTACAGCACGACGTTCCCATTTGTCCACTTTGAATTTGGCTTTCCCATCAATCTTTTCAACTTCCTTACACAAGCGACCCTTGAATAAAGAATAAGCAGACAAGTATACAAAACTCAAGGAGGAGCAGTTAAAAAGAGATTAGAAGAGAATGATTAGAAATAAACAATTAAACGAAGCATAACTTAAATGAATACATTTTTCAAAAATGTAACTGTATTCAAGTCCAAACGTCTTACAACCGACTAACTCCTCAAAAGAGATTGTAACAATAAGCTGTTTTAATAAAATTAAGACACATGAATATAGGAGTGAAATTTATGAGTTACCGAAATTTACAACAGATTAAGAACATATTTTAGATTACAGATAGTGATGTGAATAACGTTTACATATGAAAGAATCAGAGCACCAGAGTCATCACTAATCATAATTTACACTTTTTAGTTTTTATTACAGTGACAATGCTGAAAACTAAATCTACGTAAGGTCAAAACTTAAGCAGGCAACAAAAGAAAAGTAAATAGTTCATGCATATGTCCAAATAACCCTGGCAACTTGTCTGTTATCTAAAAGATTATTAAAAAAAAAACAAATAAAACGTTTAGTATATAACTAACTACCAAAACATAAAAATCAGTCTGTATGAGTAACTGCTTATTACACGTTATGAAATTCAGTCACGTAGAACTATCTTTTTGTGAATTAAATTCATTGATCTGTGATTATCTAACTGTGACAGACATTACCTCAATTTTTAACTAGTAAATAATACACAATGGCAATTAAAACCCAAACTAATCAAAACTTTAAGTAAATACTACATAACTTTTATAAATTTACATGGTGCCATCAAAAAATAGTAAACAGACAGGAAGTCACAACTTATCTTAATAATCATTTTTAGTGACTCCTTTCAACATCTTCAGCTTATACAGACCTTCTTAGTCAACAGTCAGCACAATTTACTTTAAACGTTTAAAATGAGTATGATCGACCAAATAATTATTTGGCGATATTGAAATGTCAGCTTTTGAAACATTCTGGGTCAAAACAAACATGTTATCTTTAGGTAATGAACTCTTAATCACACGAATAATTTTTTTGGGATTATCGATATCGATCAACTAGGTGTATTGCAAAGAATCTCAACAAAAAACAGAGAACAACTGCATATGAACACGAGTTAAAAACGACGAGTGCACACTAGCGAGTCACAAATAGATTGCTACACATCAACGTGACGTTCTCCAAACGTTGAGGGGATATAATCAAAAATTTACACGGTGAGACTATAATTTATGGACAACCTTTGAGCGACGTTGAAGTGGCCTTGAGAGTGGACGCCTACTGAATAGGACTAAATGAGAGTTATAAAGCAGTTAGAATTCTCATTTACAGTTGATGGTTAGAGATAGAAATTGGATTTAGGGTTTTCATTACGAAATGACACCACCTATAATGCCATAATTCTATTTAGCCAAATGTATAGATGAACTACGCGCCCATAAATTAGTCTCGCCAGGTAGGGCAATGAACGCCACACACCAATAAATTGATAACGATACATTCTAAAGCATAGCATATTTGAAAGATAATCTCACTTGGAGTTCCATGCACAACACTTCCATTTTTGAGCGATAACATTCATCACCTGACTGCAGAAATATTTAACACTTTATAGAAGTCTACCTGTAACTTGTCGACTGCAGAAACAGGCAAGCACATCCAGTTATTTAGATTTATTTCAGGAAACTTGGTAACAAATGGTACGCTAGCGCAGGAAACGGAGAAGCATTTATTACTTAGGCCCACAATGTTGGTGTCAGCAAGGGCCCATCGACCTCCAACCAAGAAGGCAGAAGCACTAAGAACAAAAAGAGTGTTATGAACAATAAAATGTACCCTAGTGCATAAACACAGCATTTAAAGAACCGTTGGGTTTTTGAACGATACAGGAACGACACACCCATATCCGCAACGTGAATCTCAAATAAAGCGGCTTCGTAGCTTAGTGAATAATTGTTTCATATCCATATGGGTTCAAAATAGATAATGGGCAAAAAATAGAGTATTGTGATAGATATATAATATTTATGACAGACATAATATTATTACGAGTAAAGTGCTAGTGTAAAAAAACGACATCTCATCGCATGTGAGGGAATTAAAAACAATTGTCGTCTTCCCTTTGGTATTCCCTAGTTTGGGAAAGCGAAACTGATGATTGTCTTCTTATTTGCTAAAGTGACCTTTAAGGGACTTATGTAATGGACTGTGCTAGCGTGAACCGGAGAATCACCCTAGGTCGCCGTTAACTCTAAAGGACAGAACATTGAAAATGATTAACATTATCCTATCGACTGAATAATTTTTGGTATTACTCGCATTTTTCGTCATTTCCCCTACTTCAGACACCCCTTGTCTACAAAACTGTTGTTTAAACTTTGGAAATGACGTCATCATTGACAGTCTGTTTTCTGCATGGATGTCACTAATTATCACTGACAATCGCATTACGGCATCTACAATGCTTGTTCCCATTTAACAGGCTGTAAAATTGAATGATCACTAAAATAATTGTCATAAATGTTTGATGATAACAGTTGAGTCCTCGTTACTGAGTTATTACTGACAGAATTTACTTTGGACTTCATACCCTATATGAAATCATTGATTATTCATTAAAATTGCTGATTCAGTGATCGAAACAACGAACGCCCTACACTTATTAACAAAACTACCGTCCAAAGTATCCATCTGTCTACTGAGAGTTTGTATATTATTGACTGAATATAATTTTTTTAAGCAACGTTTCCAGCACCTCGGAATTAACACGTAGTGGTAAATAAATCCCACAAATCACCTAACCGCAACAGGTTGTAGCGTGGCGTCGAGTTGAGATTAACTATGAACACCGCTACAAAGAAACACTTGCCAAGTAAATCAGAAGGCGTGGGTTGAACGTAACCAAATAAGTACATAAAACCCCGACAAGCCAAATACCAGAAGGCAAGTAAGGGACCAAGTCGAGTTATATTTACTGGCGATCTCGCGGCATCGAGAGGATACCGAGATCGTGTCAGGATACAACCTTGGTTACAGAAGGTAACCGAATTCGCGCGAAGTCACAATCGAAGTGTAAGTAAAAGAATGGAAGCACAAAATAGCTGTCATTAGCACAGTCAAACAAAAGCACATTAAAACAGTCACTGGTACACTTGGTTATAATAATAAGCGTTTTTATTAAACCAGTCGTGTTCTCGTGATAAATGTGAGTCACTACAAGGTCATGAGTTGGTAGACGTTCTACGCATCCCTTGCAACTATCAACCAACCTCTTCGTATATCGATAGCTTTCCAATTATATCTTCTAACCTCTTCATTACTGACCTCTGATTTCACCGGATTGGTATACTTCGATTATAAGAGTGTTACTTGTAAAAACGTTTTCGAACTCCGAACACCTGTGGCGCCTTTCACCATTTATTGTCTGCTGCATGAATACCTCGTTAGAATCTTCTAACCATTTGGCATTTCAGAATTCCTATCAGCTCTTCTTTTATCCATTTTTCAGCTAACAATTTAACCTGCATGCTGCTTCATCCTGTGTATGTGCCATTCTAAGCCAGCCAGGGGTTTTATGAACTTTCTATGTGCTTAAGCTGTTTATAGCTTTGGTAATTACATTCATGTGTGTTTTATGTATACTTGTCTCATATGTCTGTTGTCTGTACATGCTATCTGTAATTTATGCATTATTCAACTTACACTAAAACAGAGTCATCCTTTAATTACTCAGTAAGTCAATACTGTCACTCCACTTCGCATCTATTTCTTTTCGTTTGTCTACCGAACAAATTCACTGAAAAACATGCACATCTTGAATCATCTCGGATTTCATCTTATTTCTACGTCAAATTCACATGATTATTCGACAGAAGATATACTGGTTTAATTAGGATAAGTTTATCGTGAACATCAACGCTATTTGATCATCATGGAGTTGAACACGGTCGGCTCAAACTGTTTGCTCAATATAACACAATTCCAGAAGCAAATGAGTTTGAAGGAATACAGAATTTAAATAATAAGAAAGCTTGAATAGTAATGAGGATAGAGGTATTTTACAAGTAATGAGGGCAAGAAAATAAGCGGAAAACACAGTATAACCAAAACGAAACCAACATTTGCAATTTATTTTTAATCTAACCCCAGCTTCTCAGAGACGTCTGTGGTTTTCTTTTGTCATTATTATGATTATTACTCACAAACATCTTATGGGTATATAAGTGTTGTGAAGAAACCATTTCGGGTTTCTTCAAATATACATTAATACACAATTTTCAATAGTGTTAGCATTATATTTGCCATATTTGAAAAAGAGAATAATAATAATGGAATAATAATAATCATAAATCGGGTTTGTGTAATTGAGAAGTATATTGAATTGAGTTTAAAGAAGGACTGACGAAAGTAAGAAAATGGAAATAAAGGAGACGTAAAATACGCTAATAGTTTAATAGGCGTGTTTATGAACATAGAACAAGAATAAACAACTATGTATGTATCGTAATATTAGTAAAAATAATAAAATATATAATAATTAAGAAAAAACAACTTATTATTGCAGTAAGATATGACGCCAGAATAAGTGTTTGTGCAGTCATATTTTGGAGTGATGCTATAAAAGTCGCAATTAAGTGAAAAGGATAACCAGATATCAATATATATGAGTCATATATGCATAGTGAATATAAAACGAGTCTGAGAAGTTAATTTACGTGCCATCTTAAGAATAATATTTATTTAAAAAGAAAAGAGAGAAAAGAAATGGACACCTAGTGAAAGGGTTAAACCATGACAATAATAATAATTGTACAATAAATATCGACCTTTGAAGTAAACCAAAAATTAAAAATAAAATAAGATCCAAAAAATCCTTTACTGCACTCGGATAAATACATATAGACTTATGTAATGGTATACAGAGTGAAACCGGATATTAGTATTAAGAATGATTCTATGAAAGTCACAATTAATTTCAAAGGATAATCAAACATAAATTTCCATGTGTTACATATATGTGATGACGATGAAATGAATCTGAGAAGTTAGTTTATTTGAGTGTACCGTGAGATAATTTGTTTTTAGCTATAGACTTTGGATGTTTAGGAATAATATTTGTTTAAAAGGATAAGAAGAAATAAAGAGAATATCTAATGTGTCGAAGGACCAATAATGATATTAATAACAGTAATAATTATAAATACGAACATAAGCAGGCTTCATATATTAAGATGAATAGAAATAGAATAGACATGAAAATTTTCAAAGGTTACATTTTGATTTTCAGTCAATTGGATGACGGACCTTGCTTGTGTAAATCATTATTAAACACATTGATATTCAGTAGGTGGCACAACCCAGTTTCGGAAAAAAAATAATCAAGGAGATTTCTAAACCGGGTTTTAGGTTCACTGCAACGGAGGTTCACTGGCAGTCCGTTTTACACGGTTGAGGAGCTCAAACTCTTGCCATATCTTAAACTCGAATCACGAACAGTGTTGATAGGTTTCAGCGTATGTTTGTGTATAGCCAGATTTAGGTTGAGGCAGTGGCCAATGTGAGCAAATCCACTTTTGTCAACACTAAGTGGCAAATCCATCAACAGTTCATTCGTATAACTTGTTTATTTCTTCTTCGATTAACACTGAAATATAGATTTCTTTTGTTGGAGAAGAGAATGAATAAACTACTTTCAGATCATTGGCGAAAAGGAAAGGTTTACCATACTGAAAGAGGGAACACATGATTGATAAAAGGAGAAAGCGTAATGGACCAATCACACTTCCTTGTATAACCCCACTGGTTACATCCACAGGTTTAGAGTAGCAAGATCCAAAGAGAATGAGTTGGCCACGTTCTTGTAAAAAGGATTTGAGCCAAGAAAAAAGGGGTTTCTGTATGCCACATGAAGAGAGTCTAGAAGAAGACGTTTGTGTGAGACACTGTCGAAAGCCTTACTTAAATCGAAGTAAAGAATTATCACTGACTGAAGAACATCTCTTCTCAGCGTAATTTGGTCAAAAAATGCCAGGTTCGATATGAAGCATGAGCGTTCAGTCATAAATATGTGTTGGGATAAGCTAATCAGACTAGCCGAAAATAAAAATGTTAATAGCTGTCTGTGGATGATTATTTCTATGGTTCTTGATAACACGGATGTCAACTTTATTGGCCTATAGTTTAACAATATCATTACGTGATCCTGTTTTGACCCTAGGGGTGATAAGAGATGTTTTCCATAAAGATGTATAGGCCCCATATTCCACAGATTAAATGGAAAGTTTCAAACAAAATAGTGGAAAATCTCTACTACCATATTCCACAAGTGATGAAGGGATCCCGTCAGGTCCACAATCAAAAGACTTTTTCACGGCAGCTATGGCCTGTTTGGTGTTGGAGGGTATGAAAGCAATTTTCGATAGGTGTCTGGATGTCAGAACTCCGCCTGGAGTCCCTTCCGGGGGCTACTGCCGGTCCCAAGCCCGTATAAAGGGGAAGGGTCAGGCATGGGGTTAGTAAAACGCTAACCAGAAAAAATTATTCAAACCATTTAAGCTCTGTCCTGGGAGTCAGAAGGTCTTCATTTAGAAATTATGAGCCTCATGATGAAATCCGAGTTCCTTCGAAGTCACGAGACGATAGCAACCATTTATTTAGGTACATGGAATGCTCCGAGATACAACCTAGATACTTGGGATCAGTGAAACACATTGGACACAAGTTGGACAACAACGACTAACTACAGGAGAGCTCATGTCCAAACAAGCGCAAAATGCACTTATAGGATGGGAATCTCATAGACCAAGGATCATCAGCCTCTAAAACAAGAAAGAGGGCATTTCAATGAACATCATCCAATGCTATGCGCCTACCCACGACTACAATGAAGACGCTAAAGATCAATTCTACAATAGGCTGCAGTCAATCATCGAGAAGTGCCCA